ACCGGTGGTCATTTAAAAGAAAATTGGATGGAAGGGTACAATCGTTACGTTTTAATATTAGAGGGGTATGTTCGTGCAAAAAATTAGTAGATGGGTACGTTTGTTAATCTGCAATAATAGAAGGATACGAAATACTATTAACCTTTTTTAAAAAAGAAGAAACTAACAGAGTTAAAGTGCAGTAGCAGGAAATAAGAAGAAGAAACTAACAGAGTTAAATGCAGTAGCAGGAAACTAAAGGTCCCGTTTAGTATCATTTTGTTGTTGTTGTGGTTGCAGTGGTGTTCTGTAAACAGATGTACAACCACAACAGGAAAAAACAGAAAACACAAACCTGTTTAGTTGATAAATTTGAAAAATCATGAAAACCGACAACAAGAAACAAAAACGCGTTTAGTTACTACTATCAGAACTAAAAACCAGAAAAAAAGAGATATGTCATCAACTGAGGTAAAACACAAAACGAAGAACATATCAATCAATCCAGATTCACAAATAACTAATCTCGCGGCGACGGCTGGGCAGTCAGGGCTTGGTCGCGCGCGGCGCGGAGGGTCGGGAGGGCGGAGGCGGCCGCCGACGGGAATGGAGTGGGGAGAGCGGCGCCGGCGTTTATGGCTGGGGAGTGCTGTCTCTCGTTCGAGAGAAAATGGAGGGGTTGGGGGCGGGTGAAAGTAAGTAGGGTTTGGGGTGGTATGTGTTAAATTTTTTTTTTTTTTTGCTTCTGTGGGGATTCGAAAACTAGTCTGTTTTAATGAAATCAAGCGCCCAACCAGTAGGAATCCCGTGTGCAACATGTTTAAGAATCATATCCAAAGCTATAAATTGTTGTTTCTCATATTTGGGCCTTGTTGTGCAACTCTGATTCACAACAAAAAATAAAAACCCAACTAAACACGATTTTTTTTCTTGGTTTTCCAAATTTCTTAAAACACAACAGGAAACAAAAACAAGCAACAATACTAAACGGGCCAAGCTTATAGAGCAACTTAGGTAGCTGCAACGAGCCGAAGGGCAACGACCGGTCTGCATACAACAGTCAACAGCAAAGTGCGGCCAATTGGCAAAAGGGCAAAATTATATTAGGGTTAGGGAGCTGCTTCGGCCATTTTTGTTTTTGGTTTGTCGAATAAAGCTGCTGCTCTATATCTCCACTCTTGTCAACTAGATTTGAGCCCGCCCGTTGGTCGGATGAATTTCGTTAATAGTATAAATAGCCATAGAAATTATCCGACGCAAGAAATGTTTTATTTTATACGATACAAATTTCTAATCATTTAGTAACCGGAGACAATATCATACTCGTATAATATTTGAACATGCTAAACCAATTTATTGCTAAAGTCCTTACTGCAAGTAAAATACAAAACCATGCAATAAAATCTACTCCTGAAAATATAATCAAACCGCACTATTTGCTATTCGAATTAATAAATTATTGCAAATGTCATTTTAGATTTCGTGTGATCGCTCCATCCTCTAAAGCACCATCATATCTACAAATTCCAATGCATTTGTTTTTCTTTATGAAACCTTTATCTTCACACTAAACATTACACACGGTAGAATTTACGTCACATGAACATTTTATGATATTTATTCTTTTCCATGCTGATAAACAACCCAGCAACCAACACAAATATTGATACTCTTTAGATTGAAAAATTAATGAATAAACTTAGGGATTGAGTACTCTCCAATAAATATGTTGCTTTTTTTTCCCTTATAAATATGCAGATTTTATTGCTCAATTTATATATAATAAATTAAGTGGGGAGTATCATGATCATTCTAAGTTAACTTTATGAAGATTGGAAGATTGGTCAAAGTCCAGTCAGCAAGGCGAGAACCAAAATTGATGGTGTGGATGTAATTAGGAATTGTCGTATAGATAGGGTACCATTATAGAAGAATTGATAGTGCATGAACGCTACTGTACATGATGCCATAGGATTAGAGGTGGACATCGGTCGATTCGGCATAGAACCTGATTGAATTGATACAGAACTGAACAAAAAACAAAGGAAAAATAAGGACCAGAACCGGACCAAAAGCATGTTTGGTTTATTTTGTTCGATTTAGTCCATCCCAAATTCAATTTTGGTCCATGTTTCTTCATACTTAAAATAATTCATAGGATCAAAACCGAATCAAAATATATTTGATCCGATATGATTCGATCCAAATATCAATTTGGTACGATTTAGTCTGGTGCGAACCGGATCGTTACCCACCCCTAGATAGGATACTAGACTAACATATCTTCCAAAATATGTCAAAAATGAAGGTTTTGTCTTCAATGCGGTCACTTTTTGCGTACATGCTATGCACTCGCCTCATAACCGTCATTGTGAGCAGGTGATTCATGTCAAACTGATGTCAATCATTACCAGTGATATGATGGACAAAAATACATATGAATTTGCACAAAAATTATTCAATATTTACTATGATTTGAAGGATTCCGGATTTTGAAATTTAGGGTTAGGGTTTACAATTTAGAGTTTACGGTTAGATTTCAAAATTGAAAGTTATCATCGTATTTGGCTATCGACACCAATTAAAATAAAATTCGATGGCTTATATCTACTTTTAGAGTTAGGTGTATATTATGCACTCATTTTTATAAGTGCACCATAGAAGCCACCCAAAATAAATAACATTCTTTATAGTATAATTAGTTTGATTTTCAGTAAAAATTTATAAACTAAATTTTGAACAAATGAAATATGATTAATTAGAAACCGATAAGGGAGTGATTACACACGTTGAACTATACACCTAAATTTTTTAATAAAGTGACAATAAGCTATTTTATCTAAATGGATACAATTAAATATAGCTGCTAATTATAATTTTAATAAATATATATAGAGAAATTTCACTATATTTTATGCCATCAATTGTTCCATTTAAAAAAAATACAATATTTAGTTTGTGTCTATACATTTTCGTAAAAATTTATTTATAATACAAACTCAACTTGTACTTTTAATATTATGGTACAAACTTAATTTGTATTTATATCTCTACATACAAATTCATTTATGACAACACAAAACCGTATATCTTTAACACTATAATATGGCAGTTATGATATAAATTAAATGTATCTACAAACACTAATTCTTTGAAGTATAGTAAATTAGGGATCTTTAAATAACATAACACATTAATTAAATAGGGAGCATTAATTCTTTCAGTGGGAGAGGGTTTTAATTTATAAGCCCAAATGACCAAAGAATCCTCCCTTCCTATGCGGAGAAGCTAGGAAAAAATCAATTGGATGGGTTCTCAACAGGAACCTCTATATATTATTTGAAGGATATTATTATTGCCCTTTGCCCGCAGCATTCTGCGTTTCATCTCTCTCTCACTCAGTTTGTACTCTTGGAAGATGAATTTTCATATCATCCTTCAGTGTTAGTTTCGATATTTAAGATTAGACAATTAGTAAGTAGAAGTGGAAATCACAACAGTATAAGTATTCTGATATCAAATATTGAAATCTAAGTGTACTAGAAGTAATTTCATTTCAATTTAAGTTAAAAAACATTTGGTATTCCAATTCCAAATTATTTTCGATACTGTATTGAAATTTCCAAATTACAAATTAATTACCTTTGTAATTAATAATTAAATAATACAAAAACAAATAGTGTTTTGAACACCTTTAATCGTGAATACTTTTATATGGTGTAGGCTTGCAGGTTTAATTCCATGATTAAAAACTTTGGCGATGGGAAGTAGAGGTGAGAAAAGTCTAATAAAAAAACTATCAAAGTCCACATTGAATGAATTCAATATAAATTCTCGAACGAAATGAATTTATCACAGGTGCCCAATTGGGACTACGACTAATGAGTGTATGCTTTTTGGTGTTCTGAAAATAACAATAAATTGAATGAGAGATAATAGTGAGCTAGGAAAGCTTGGAAGCCAAGTTTGAATTGAATGGGGGCTTGCAAGTTGTCAAAATGTGAGTAATGGTTAGAAGTTGTGAATTAGATTTAATTAATTGTAATTTTTTTGTATTTCTCAGTATTTTGGTATATATCTATCTCAATCTCATAATCATGAATATCGAATAACACCCCAAAATCAATTTCAATTCATAAAAATAACTCCAAAAGTTCGTTAATACCAAATAGTGATAAATTCAGTATGATATACAACATATCACAAATACTGGTACCGAAGTCCCGTCCTTTTAGCAAGACAGATTTACTGTATTCTCGGTTGAAAAGAAGTCATCAAAAATAAATTTGTATTTCGAGTTTAAATATGAGAATGAATCTCCAATAAGATAGAAAAACCATTAAATAAACGAACAACTACAATGTATGTAGTATCGAATAAAAGGAGAAGACTAGATTGAGGATCTGTGTAAGAAATCTCCACATTAAAACATTTGGTTACTCTACAATCTACATAGTCGAGGAAGAGATGGATAGTTGACAATGGTAAGCACAGTTTGACCAAAGGATGGCATCGCATAGTGAATCCACTATTGCTGTAATTGCTACTATGGTTTTTGTTCTACTGACTAAACATGACACGATTTAGTAATCTCAGTGACAAAATGTAGCATTTACCCCTTTGTGTTGTCATTTGTATACTTTGTATTCATTGATTTGTAATACAAGATTACTGTTTTATATTGTAAGTAGTGGCATTTTATACTGTTAGTATGTTTTGTAATGTTTGTCGGTCTAGTTTGTATAGTTCGTATGTTTCGTATTGTTTTTAAATCAGTTTTCCATAATACCCAAACAACCTCTGTCATTAATTAAAAAACTTTTCCCACTTTTTAACCGTAAGATTGGTGTGTCCATATCTAAGAACTAGGAAGGACTTAATCAAGTGACTAATCACCCCCTAGTCACTTGATCCTCCCTCAAATCAACAAACTGTAAATTTGAAATAATTTACTGTTTCAGTAATATAACGGTCGAAAACTGAAGAAAGAATACACATGCAAATGACAGTGGAAACTAGAAACAGCATGAGTACGAATCAATCTATTGCATAAACTTTTACTGTTAATAAAAGAATTTGAGAGCTTTTCTCTCTTGGTACTGGATCAAAATGCTCTCGCAGGAACCCAATTACATGCCAATAAGTGAAGCAGTTCTCCTAGAGCTAGGTAGTGATGGTCTAAGTTACAACATATACTAAGGCGGCAAAATTATATATACAAACCATTCAAAGAATGCACGCGGGAGACTCGTTACGTTACGCGTATTTACATGAGACATACATGTATCATCATGCCGCGGACTGTTTGTAGTTCTGATTTAGAGCAAGTCATCTGAAAAACTCACGCCGAGGCAGCCTTCCCATGGTATTATGATACGGGAAGGTCACAAGACTCTGTTATGTGCTTCGATCATTGAAACCTTCTCCTGTACCGTACATGTAAAAGGCATTTTTCAGATGAAGATTCGGACGAAGTGGCGAGCAAACAACATTATCGTGCTGACACACAACGATGAGGGAGGAAGAAGGGTTATAACCTCATTCGGGGCGGTTTCTGGTGGAAACCATTGCAAAAGGACTCCGAGATTCATGACATTAGGTATCAATTTGAACAGGAGAGGTGTTGTGACCTGGATGAACAAAGATTCAGTTGATCACTGTTTTATATGGACATTATGGCACAGCTTAGAATAATACCAAAGAATGGAAAGTATAAGAAACAAACCAAACTTAGAGCGGTTGTTCCAAGAAGGAGAAGGTACATTTTCCCCTGCATTAACAGTGAACAGGTCACAAGAATCAATAGCATGTTCAAGGGCATGAAAGAGAGAAACAGGGAGAGACAGAGAGGGAGAGGCAACCTCAACGAGGTTAAGAGTTGAGGCACGACTAAGTAGAACAAAAGCAAACTCCCCAATTTGAGCAAGCAACACTCCAACCTATAACAGAAAAAACAGAAGTCATGTTTTCAGTTTGGAGAGCTTTCAGTAATTTTTAGCCTCTGAGATATTTTAGAAGCCAACTCACGTGAAATGATGTCCTGATGCCATATCCAAAGGTTTTAATAACCAAAGCAGTAACAGTTGTCTTCACAACTACAACCATAATCACTGATGCTAGTAGTATGTCAACGTGATTCCACAGAAAATGCACGTGTATAAGCATTCCAATACTTGCAAGAAACAGGGCGGCAAACAGATTACGAATTGGCTCCACCTATATAACAGGAAAGGAAAAGTATCTCCACTGGGTCATTCTCAATGCTATAATGTGAACCATAACTCCCAAGAACAAGAGAATTTGCAAATGGAATCATCAGTTTCCATTAATGGTCAATCTGATTGAGAGTGCAAACAAGGATTTTCATATAAAAAAGGTGAAGATGACAGGTTAGTTACAATAGAAAAGCAAGTACTGACTGGGATAAGCATCACTAGCTTTCAAATCTAAACCACTGGTACCCAAACAAGGAACTCAACAATAAATTGCAATTATCGAACCATAGAAGGTCGAAGTAATGAAGACTAGTTCAGATCAAGATCATGGAAACAGAAGTCATGGCTATTTGGTGATGGGTGCACGTTTTCTGACCGTCTAGGTCATTAAACTAATTTTGGTCGTCATTATTATTATTGTTTGTTTGGATATTCTTTGGGTTATTATTTCTTGTTAAGGAAGTTATTGTTTAGGAGTTGGTCTAGGATTAGTTTACCTTGTTCGGGAGGGAAAGGGTTTGTAGGATTATTCCTATAAATATGTACTTTGTCTCTACGTTTTAATCAGTCAAAGAAGAATAAATCAGTATTTCAGTTTATTTTAGTTTTAGTTCGTACGATTACGCGATGGACGAACCGATCGACCATCATTTGGGAAGATGGAACTAAAAAATGATAGATTAACCCTCAGAATTAAAGTTAAGTGGGAATCAAAAGTTAAAGGGAAGTACCTGGTCTAAAGTATGCTGTGCAAAGTCAGTTGTGGATATCATAACTCCAGCTACAAATGAACCCAACTCAAGACTGAGGCCTAATTTGTCACTGCACTGAAGATGGTAAAAAGGGAGAATTATTATATTATAACATAATGAGGTCCACATTAGGGACAAGAACAAATAATAATATGTTGAGGCACACATTTTGACTCACAATTTCAGTTTTACAGAACAATCAGTAATAGCTATAACAAGTCAAAAGGTAAGAAAATATCACATGTATTGGTCCAAATAATTAACTGTACAGAATGACTGCTCCGGTTAAGAAGATCAGCAGATTGAAGATAACTTCATTAAGTTCGTATAAATGTAGTAACACTCTTTTCCCAAAGCAAGTTCTCAAAATCTTGAACAATACTAGTGCAACAATTTAGTATCACGAGACAGAAAAATGAAATAAGCAATCCAAGACAACTATAAGGAATATAAGACTGTTGCAAGATCAGACAATCAGACATCCAAGTCAAACTGATGGAACCATTATGCGTGTGCATGTGAAAAATGCTTTTATGAAGAAAAGCGGAGGACATTTGAACTCACCCAAGCAGATAGCAAGCAGAAGGCCACAGCAGCAAGCTGATAAAGTTCATTTGTCTGCATGGAAGATGAATACGATTAAGAAAACCAGTCAAATAGAAGGCTAGTCTGCACAAGAAAGACTGGACACTCACTTGAGATGATATCTGGATCATTAGCTTCAGAAAGCGAGGAACAAAGGACCAAGACAAAAATGATGCAGCAGTGAGGTACATGGACAACACCAACAACCTAAATATCAAGTAGTTAGTGTACGTCAGGGATCAAGCTTGAAAAAGTAGCCAACCACTAATTAGAAAGCAAAACTGATAGGATGACATACAATTTCCCCATTGAAATCATTCCATGTAGTAACCCACTGCTGCCACCCAATACTGGGAGTAAAGCAAACAACAATCCAACAGCACAGTCCTGGGGAAGTTCATATGTAGAGAGTAAGCAAACGGGGCACAAAATCTGCATTTATTAGAGACTCTAGTCACAAGAAACAAGGAAATAGCACCTGAAGAATCAGAGTCCCAACTGTAATTTGACCATGAAGTGAACTAGTACTGTTACGCTCAGCTAAGAATTTCACCACCTGTTTTGCGTAAATGCAGAAGAGGGGGTCACAAGCAACATTGGTAAACATACAAGTAACTAATAGGAATCAGAACACTGATCGGAAATCTTGAAATAAAAGAGTACCACTGCTGTTGATGACATTGACAAGAAGGATCCAACAAAAACACCGTCAGACAACTCTGCTCCACACAGCTAAAAAATTGGCAGAAGTAATTAGCACTATTTTAACAACTACAGTGGCTGTAGGCAAAACTCCTGGGACAAGAAACATACCATGGCAGTTACACCGGACAAGAACATAAATATCACAATTTGAAGAAAACCTCCAAACACAGCAACAGCACCCACCACCCTCAACTGTATCACCAATTGATTAGTATGAACTTCACAAACACAAAACTGTGCAAGTAAGAACAACCAGTTTAAGGCATTCAGACCAATTTATCCTACCTTTGTTATAGAAAACTCAAGGCCTAAAGCAAAAAGTAGAAATATAACACCAAACTGCGCAAATGTTTCAACCTGCAAAGGAAGAAAGCATCCAAGTCAAATTTAAATCATGAAAGTGTTTAATGACATAGAAGAGAAAACTGAATGATCCATGTAATATAGATCATTAATGTTACCTGCACCATCTCACTGATGAACTTAAGACCTCCTGGTCCAATGAGTGACCCAGCAAGAAGATAACCCACAATAATCTAAAAGACATAAGATATCAGAGTTCATCAGTCGTTGTAAACTATCAACCTGAACTTCCAAGCAGTGAATCAAAGAATGGAGCAAAAAATACGCATACTAACCGGCTGTCCCAAACACGAGAAGATAATTCCACCAATGGCAGCAGAAACTATGACAACCACCAGATCTGAAATTAATCTGTGGGAGAGGGAAACAAAAGTATCATATAGAACATTAAAATCTGGATTTGAGTATGGCAATAACAAGTGGCAATCTATAAAAAAATATGAAGTCATCACAGAAAGGATATGCACCTCAAATCGACTTGAAGTACTGGATATTTGGATTTCTTATTTGACATGACAAAGACATTGTCCTGCAAGAAGTCAGACACATTGCAAACATTTTCTACATTAATAATCCACCTAAGAACTGCATATCTGCCTACACAGTTTGAAATAAACAAGTCAGACTGAGTTTCAGGAACCTTTTTGTCAATCAGGGTAGTGCCATCCTCGGAATCTTCATTCTCCAGAGAAAATACATCTTGGAGCTGAAATGATCTTGGTCCACTGTGAACAAATGGAATGAGAGGCAAAAAAAAATACACGTGAAATTAGTTTTCCCAGCAAAGCAGGACAGGAACAGTGTCACTTCATTTTTCGTAGTTAAAGAACTTTCATGGCAAGTATTTTTGACAAACTTCCGCACCTTCCCGGCTGTGAGTCATTTTTCTTGCCCTTCTCATGAGTAACTTTGGCTACCGTTTCCAACACAGCCTGAAAAATTATTAGCAGGATTCATCGTGAATGCACTGAAAGAACTTGAATTCACCGTGGATTTAATGGCAAGATTTAAAGTAACTATGTGAAACAGCAACTAGAGTATCAAAGCTGAAAAAGGAAATAGTATCGTTAACGTATATATGTGGTGTGTGACAGATATGGAAGGTAAAGCTTGTCACAATATTTCTCACAAGTCGCAAAATTAGATAAAAAGAAATTCCAGAAACAGCTATTTCCTTCATTAAACAGTAAGTATCTAATTCAGTAAAAAAAATTCCCAGCTTTATTTCCAGAAAGTAGAAGTATAAACCTACCTGTTGGTCATTTACACTGTTATTGAAGTTGCTTCCATCAGAACCTAGACAAATAGTACAAAACGGTTAAACATCTACTACAGAAACATCAAAGGGAAGAAAATTGTCATATGACAGACAGGAATCGGTAACTCTCTCGCAGGATGGAAACTTATGTCAACGCACATGAATCGCGATGCAAGAATGCAGCATGAGTCCCTACGCTGGCAATTACATACTAAATGACAACCTTTCTTTCTTCACAGTATCATTCTATGTGATTTTCCTTGGTATGAATCTTCGCCTGGCAGGATGTACATAGTACAATAACAAAGATCTATCGAAGCAACTACTTGACTTCAAAGATCAGTCACATATAAGACCTCTGGAGCTTAGAACTCCGTCTCTCCACTACTGTGTCCTCAACAACAGCTTTGCACCGTTTAAATTTCTGCCAACGGATCAGGTGTTTCCAAGAGAATACAAACCAGACTTCATCAACCTAGATACAGTTACTTGGTAGGCAAACAAGCTTAATTTTCGCCATTCTCATCAGTAACAAAAATTGAATCTGACGCTTCTCACCCTTCCTTCACAGCTATCCTTATCTCTAGCAGTTCATCCAGCAAGCAGAAGAAAGCAGGGGACTAGTCCTGCTCATCTACGCTTCCAATCAAGATCAGGGCAAGCGAGGCTAGATTCCAGAAACCTAATTGGTTCAAGAAGTTCCTAAAAGCTATCCTTATGTCTTGAAGTGGAAAGAACGAGTAAAAGATGGGGAAAAGAAGACGTAGGACTAACCTTCAGGCTGATCATTTTCGGAGAACTCTTTCTCGAGAACACGATCGAACATTTGGGCGATACTCCCTTCTCCATCGCCGGGAGAGGATGAATTGATCAAATTGCCGTAGAACCTCTCCCTCATTTCCTTGTCAGATCTAACGGACTCGCAAATCCTCGCCGGAGCCGCCACCAGCAGCAGGAGCAGCAGCAGGCAGCGGCAGAATCCACAAAATGCTGGCTTCGCGAGGAGCATCGCTGCCATGATTTCGTCCCGGCGGCCTCGCGAGCGCAAGCGGAGGACTCGAGCGATTAAAATTCTTCCGTAGGATGTTCGTTATGTCGACGAGTCTTTAGAATTTTGGTTGCAACCAAAAAGGTTTAAACGCAGTTCCATTTATTATTATATTATTATTATTATCAATATTAATGATTTAATTACATTTTTTGAAAAAGGTTTTACGAAAATGTGATGTCATGATCCCAGATATCTGGGCCCCGCCGGCCATCCGGTTCGGCAGTCGCACAATTTGACATTGGACGGGAGGTTGCGTAAAATGTGCAGATTTGCAGGGTCAGCGCGTGACACTCACGGCTTCTTGCTCAGTTCTGTTCAGCTAATTACGACTCTGTTTTCGTGTGATATACTCCACACTCGCTTCAGGAAGTGAAAAGGCAAGAATTCAATTAATTCGCTATCACGGGAAAAGTACTTGAATTAATCTTAATTCTTAGTGTGGTTTAAATAATTAATAATACGATCATTAGAAGATTAGTTTAAATTTTGTCATATAATCCAACACCATTGGCTACGTCATCAGTCTATTCAGCTAGTTTGAACGATTTTTGTTGTAATTGAGTGGTGTATTTTAGACTTTGACAACCCAAAAAGATACGTGGGACCAGCCCAATAGGAAGTGGGAATCACGCAGGCTCGTCTGCGATTCTTCTTTTCGCGCGGAGGATTTTTGTTGTAATTGAGTGATGTGTTTTAGACTTTGACAACCCAAAAAGATACGTGGGACCAGCCCAATGGGGAGTGGGAATCACGCAGGCTCGTCTGCGATTCTTCTTTTCGCGCGGGGGCTTTACCCGCGCTCGTGAATCGCTAAGGGAAAACTGTCCTTTAGGTTTACTCCCGTTTCTGGCTGGCGGGGGCCCAAAGATCTTGATCCGACCCATGGGAGCAGTAACATTTGTTTTGGCCCAAAATTTTAAAACTCAGGAGTGTAGAGATTGAGCCCGTATGCTTTAATTAACCAGGGCGGAAGATGATGACGTGTCAACTGCCGAATATCTTGCACATGTTCGTCAGCCAGTCCTACGGAAGCGCTTGTTTCTGGTTCTGGAGTCTGGACTCTGGTACAGCAAGCCACCCGACTCGCCGCCGGAGACTTGTGCCGGCGAGAGTGAGGCTCAGGAGATTAACCCTAAGATCAGAAGTGTGACGAGCCTCGCTTCCGCACCCTCTAGATTTGCTTCTCCTTCTTCCAATCCGTTGCCGGTGAAGTTCCCTGAATGGCGGCTGTATTTAAGGGATTGGGAGCTACTGCAGTAGCAATTACTGCCGCCAATGCCCTCGATTCCAAGAAGTTCCTTCTCAGGTATTTGCTCCTGCTGCTCTCTCTAGTCTCTACTGCTTAACTTTGCGCCTGCCAACTTGTTTGCGACATGAATCTGTCTCAGTTTGTCATTGTACAATTGAATGGCAATTTTGGAAATGTAAGCTGTGATTTGTTCCGTCCATTGACTGGAATGGATCCGTACTTCCCTTGGGTTTTGCTTCAACCTGGAAGACCTTTCAGTGCAGCATGTCAAAGTAACTTTTTTTTACAGTGCATTGTGCATAAATCAGCGATTTGATTGAAGGTTTTTGGCTGATAATTAGTGGCTATAAGTCTTTAACCCAAGCCTTTGAACTTTGATGAACCTAGGTACTTTTTTCGCAGTCATTTTTGTTCATTCCTTTCTATCCTTGTCCTGTATTTTTATCTTTTGTTGGGGGAAAAGAACATAACTTCACGCTATGATCAATTTCAATAGTGGTGCATTGTTTGATTCAGGCAGGAAAACAAGCTTGGTTGTGGTCGAATCTGATGGCAATGTGAACTTCACCGCCAAACTTCCACTGCTTACCTTTTGAAACTGATACATACTGCAACACGTCTCGCCATGTCTGTTAAGCAATATGCATCTATGTCCCTTGAGGCTCTTTTAAGTTTGCACTGCCTTCTCGTGGAATACTTATCTGACTATTTCTATAACCAGACATGAACTTATGCTTTCTGAGGTCGTACGAGAAGGGCTAGAAGAAGAAATGGAAAGAGATAATCGGGTTTGTGTAATGGGTGAAGATGTGGGCTGTTATGGAGGTTCTAACAAGGTGACCAAAGGCCTAGCTGAGAAGTTTGGAGATCTCATGGTTCTTGACACCCCAATTGCTGAAAATTCCTAAATCAGAACGGGGATTGGAGCTGCCATGGTTGGGTTACCCTCAGTTGTGGAAGGGATGAACATGGCATTTCTCCTCCTACCTTTCAACCAGATCTCAAACAACTGTGCCATGCTCCACTACACCTCAGGTGGCCACTTCACCATCCCAATCATCATCCGTCGGGCCTGGTGGTGTTGGGCGTCAGCTTGGCGTTGAGCACTCACAACGCCTTGAATCGTATTTCCAGCCCATCCTTGGAATCCAGATGGTTGCATGCTTGACTTCTTACAATGAAAGGGCTTGATGAAAGCTGCAATCCGAAGTGAGAATCCAATGACCCTTTTCGAGCATGTGCTGCTTTACACCCTCAACGAAAGAATCCCAGACGAGGCATACATCTGCAATCTGGAGGAGGCTGAGATGCTTAGGCCAGGGCAATATATCACCATCTCCACCTACTCCAGAATGATGTATCATGTGATGCACGCTGCCAAGGCTTTGGTGAACAAGTGGTACGACCCTGAAGTGATTAACATCAGGTCCTTGAAACCTTTGATCTTCACACGATCATGAACTCAGTGAAGAAGACACATCGGGTGCTGTTAGTGGAGGAATCCATGAGGACGAGAGGGATTGGTGCTAGCTTGACTGCAGCCATCAGTGAGAACTTCATTGATTATTTGGAGGCCCCAATTATGTGCCTGTCATCACAGGATGTGCCATCACCTTACCGTTGGGAAATTGGAGGGATACATTGGATGAGTACACTAGTGTGGTAGAGTTCTTATGCAAAAAGGACGGGAAAGCCGCCTTTCTACTTCATTTATTTATTTATTTATTTATTTTGTTTTGGTATGGTTTCTTAAACAGCTTGTGCTTGTTTTGACAAACAATTTGACGTGAAGAAATCAGATTGTCAATGAAGTGTTTTGTGCACTAGGAATCATACATCATTGCGATGGGGTTCGTATGTTTTGAAGAATTTTCTGCGATAAATGAATTTTTATATAAACCACGGTCAACTCACCTAAATTTTGAATATAAATCAGCCTCCATCCTAGCAAATTAAACTAGTGTAAATACCAGCTCATCAGTTAATCTTGTTGAGTGAAACATATAGTGTATATGCATTGCTTTTGACTCTATTATGATCACGGCAGAGTTACAGATGGATTCGCTCTAATGAAAATATTTGGTTTCTTGTAGGAAGATGATTGAAAGAAGTAATTGATGATGTTCTTGCTTAATTTGTTGGTCGGCAAGATCAATGACTCCATCCGCTCGAAAGGAGATGGATGTTGTTCCAGAATCTCATACATATAGTTCAGTATATATAAACAGCAAAAAGGCATTACAATACTATCTTCTCAAGGTAACCTGCAGTAACACTTTACATATATGCATATATACATGATCATAAAGTCCAAGCATACCTCAACGGTAAAGCTGCGAAGTGTCAACGTTTTTGTAGTCTGCACACATTAGAACAAGGATCTCAAATAGAAAGCTACGACCGTCTTGTCTAAATGGTTCACGTCCGATGTCCTCAACTCGAAATCTGCACGATCTAGAGCAGGAAGGGTTGAATTGAAGAACCCTTTGCCAACTGTCACATTTTCACAAAGAGTGAAAGTTTGGAGTTCCGGTGCATATATCTCAATCTCGTAGCGTGCCATCAGCTCCAGTTTCAAGCTGAGCAACTGGGGTCCATGTACCTTTACCTTGCTCCCCATCTGCTACCCATTGTGGGAGTGATGGCCAAATTTTTCAAGCAAGGAAAGTTAGTAAGAATGAGACCCCAGCTATTGAAAGGGCAACGTCGCAGGCTCAACGTGGTCAGCATTGGGAAACCAGAGCAGGTTGCAAACCCATGATCGATGTTGATCCAGTGTAGGTCTAGAGTTCTCAGATGATTACTTGTCTTCTTCTTCCTCTTCTCGTTTTTATGAATATTAGTGTTGCAATAATCGGAGAATATCGCGCTGAAATTGCGGTACAGCCAAGGCCAAGAGCAAGCAGGAGTAGAGAAGGATTCGTTCCTGGCACTCCAGTGCACGACTAACTCTTCAACGTCATGGGACAACGCATAGTCGACGACTTGCAAGGACCTACTGCCTTTCCCTTTTGGGGTACTTCTATCGACACCGTAGTAGAAAACCTTGTGGAGCTTAAGGTCATAGCGGAGGGACAAAACCTTGGACACAAAACTGTCGAACTTGTGGGCTAGGTAGAAAGAACCCTTGTGTAAGTTGAGGACAGGGACGTGTTTCCAAGCGCGGTTCCAATCCCGCGACAACACCGAGGTCTGGACGGCCAATTTTGTGCTGAGGAGCAAAAGGATGTGATAAAGAATGGGTTCTGGAAGATGGGTTAACCTGTCGGTAGTAATAGTAGTAGTAGTGTCTTCTTTGTCATGACGCCTTTTTCCAGCTTTCCGCAACTCGCCGCCGTTGTTCATAGCTGTTGAAAATTTTGACTAGAAAGGGATTCCAGTACAATGTGGAGTCGTCACCCGTTTTGGATGCATCGGCGGGGACAGGGGCTTCAATCGCGAGACTCTGTTTTCGTCTCCCGCCACTGTAATTCTGGAGCAGAAGGTGCATGAAGAGGACTAGACGGCGGCTGGTTCTGGTGGGGCAAGCGCTGCAGTACTTTTATGTTATATCCCATACATTTTTAGAGTTAACCTAAAATCTTATACGGGTCGTTTGCTTCATGGATTTGAAAAATGAGGGTTTTGGTAAATTTTGGATTTTGAAAAACCATGGATATATGATGAATTTGGTGGCATTATGGATTTGAACAAGTCTATTGTTTGCTTGTTGGATTTGATTATGGATTTTGTTTGAATAGATTTGTGGTTATGAAATACAAATTACCTTGTTACCCTTATCTAATTATATTTCTATATTATAATTCAAAAATTTCATTAAAAAAAATCCAACGCATACAATGAAATTTTAAACGCTTTATCACTATGTGGACTAATAATTCAACTACTAATGTACTATACAATTTAGCACTAATTAACAACTCATCTAATAATGTACGCAATATTATGTATCAATTGCAACCAATTGCTCGCTTTATTGCTACAACTTATCATCTTCTTGCTAACTCCCCGATTTTGGAATCCGACAATCAATCAAATAATAATGCACAAGATGAGCATAAGATGTTTATAGTTGAATCTAACAAATCACATATACATTCATATTTAAATAAACTACGATATTACAAAACGAAATGATAAATTCTCATATATATAAAATACGACATTATAAAAGTTCATAGTTGCGTGACCATTGAATTAAAGTAGGACAACTTTGTAATTAAAGTAATAAGTAAGGGTAGAAAGGTAATTTACCATCATGGAATTTAATTCATCACCCAAATCCCACCTCAAGAGGCGGAACTTCCAAGTCCGCGGGGTCCACGGATTTGGAACCCCAAAAGAGGCGGGACCCACAGATTCCATCTCCCTAATTCCCTAATGCAAACGATGGATTTCCATTAAAGTCCATGACGAATAGATTTCCATGACCAAATCCATCATCAAAACCCTCAAGCAAACGACTAATTCTCTATTTAATCGTGGTGGAAGAAAAGAAACCATCTCATATCGTATCGACCGGTCCGATCGAAAAGCAAATACCAAAATCAAGGCCGGCACAATACGCTCAAAACTAATAGAAATCATGTCAACCTCTATTTTACGATTGAACATATGAACTACGCTCAAATCATCAAACACATCGATCTCTTTAGAGTATGCATTGCAAATTTCACTCTATCCTAAATCACTGTACTGTATCCATCGACGATCGACCATGCGCATCTCCAACGAAAATGTTTGGTTCCTTACAAGAAGACGCTTCAAAAAAGTAATCGATGACTTTGTCATGTAATTTGTTGTCCGGCAGAATCAAGGACTCCATCCTCTTAAAAGGAGATGGATGCTGCTCCAGAATCTCATCACGCATACAGTTCAGTATCACAACAGTACTAGAGCTGCGCAGCTTCAAATTTTTCGCGCTCTGCACATATTGGAACAAGGATCTCAAATACTCACCCGCGACTGTCCTGTCCAAACGCTTCATGCCCGGGTCCGGCGCCTTCAACTCGATATCTGCACGATCCAGATCAGGAATGGGAGCTGAATCGAAGAACCCATTGCCAACTGTGCCAGTCGTCACCTTTTCACAGAGAGTGAAAGTTTCGAGCTCCGGCGCGTATATCTCAATCTCGTAGCACGCCATCAGCTCCAGTTTCAAGCTGAGCAGTTGGGGGCCATGTATCTTCAACTTTCTCCCCATTCCGGAACCCTCCGTCCGGTAGCAGAAATTCATGGACAAATTTTTCAAGCAAGGGAAGTTAGTGAGAGTGAGACCCCGAGCAGTACCAAAAGGGCAACTTCGCAGGGTCAACGTGGTCAACATTGGGAAGCCAGAGCAGGTTGCAAAGCCATGGTCGAGGTTGATCCAGTCGAGGTCTAGAGCTTTCAGGTGACTATTCGTCTTCTTCTTCTTCTTCCTCTTCTCGCTATTAGTATCGCAGTAATCGGAGAATATTACGCTGAAATTCCAGTACGTTTCGTCCCTGATATTCCTGTGCAGGGCTAACTCTTCAACGTCGTGGGATAACGCGTAGTCGACGACTTGCAGAGACATACTGCCCTTGTCTTTTGGCAGGCTTCCGTCGCCGCCGTAGTAGAAAACCTTGCGGAGCTTAAGGTCGTCGTAGCGGAGGGACAAAACCTTGGACACAAACCTGTCGAACTCGGCAGCCTGTCGAAAAAAATTTGTATGTAAGTCGAGCGCTGGGACATGCTTCCAGGTTCGGTTCCAACCCCGGGAGAGCACTGAGGTCTGAACGGTCGATTTGGTGTCGAGGAACGAAAGGATGTGACACAGGATGGGTTCGGGAAGATGGGTTAACCTGTCGTCACCGCACATTTTTTCCGGCTTGGATGTTCTCTGAATTTCAGGATACGGTCCATCTTATAGGCAAAACAGAAAAACCTAGCTTGCTCACCAAGACACGCACGAGCTAGGACAGGCGTATTCCGAATCCGATTTGTGTTTGTTGAGACTGGCGAGTGGCGACACTCGTCCTCAGCCACTGCCGCTTCGGGCTGGCGGGAGCCCGGAATTATTGGTCCGGCCCATGAGGGCAGTCCCATTTGGTCCGGCCCAATAATGACGAGGCAGTCGATTGAGCCCATATTCTTGTTCTCTCGAATGCGGTGTGGGTGCTTGCTACCATATTCTTGGCTCATCTCCTACACCGCACAATCCATGAGTTGCATGTTATTATGTTAATGCTTCGATGGGTATATGAGAACAAATATTGGTTAAAGACTAAACTCATGTTATTATGTTAATGCTTCGATGGGTATATGAGAACAAATATTGGTTAAAGACTACAAGGTTGACGGTGGTGATGTCTTTCCAATCCAATTTCTTTCTTCTTTTCTTGGTGCCGGTTTTCTTTTCGAGCACAAAGAAATAAGTGATTTGTGTCATCAAATAAAAACAGATCCTGAATTGTTATTCACCGGTGCATAATAAAGTGCAATTATTGATGAAAGATTATTGTAATTTCAATAATAGTTTTGATCCCACCCTATAGTGACTTCTACGGTTGCCCAGGGCAAAATCCGGGGTACGGGTACCTTGGCCGATCTTAACCATTCATTCTCAATCTCCACGGCTCACGTTTGTTGAACCTAACTGCGCCACTAAATAACTAAACAAATTACAAAAAGCCTCCTTACGCGTTAAGATTGTTTTCATCCTAGTCCAACTAACTGCCCCGATTAAATTAAATGGATCAAGACTGCAAACCCTAATTGGGTAGACCCACTGCCGCCCTAACCAATTTCCAGTCTCCCTAACCAATTACACGATCCCTCTCTCGTCTTGGAGGGACGCCCCTTCACAGTTCCAAGAGAAGCTCCCCATCCAATTTGAACTCCCCAACTTAATCATCTTTTTGAATCCCAATTCCTTGCATCCACATTCGACGTAGTTTGAATTTCCCAATTTATTTTGTCTTGTTTGTTCTTCGCCATTTTATTTCCCCTCGCCTATGTCTTTCTAACACGATTACGGTGACCATGTCTATTATTGTGTTCATCAAACTTTTCATTTTGCTAACCCTAGGGTTCATGTCGGTAGTGCTTTGTCATCTTGTCTTACCGTTATTGTCATTTTCTCGAAACTTCTATCACTCAGACAAATTAAGGTTTCCTGATATGTAGTGTTCGTCTTGCCCAGAGGATTGAGGAAGGAGATGAAGAAGACATAATTTGATTCGAATCGGATGGAGAGGTCTCCTTAATTTGTGTTTATGTATTAACGGTGCGTTTAGGACTAATTCTAGTTGGAATGGGTCTGATCATTGATTTTTGCATGCTTTTAAATAACATTCAAAAGTGGACTTGTACATGATCCATGCAATATTCAAAAGTGGGTCTGGAACGTGCGAGCCTATTTTATTTCTCCTGCCGTATCAATTCGTGCGCCAACCCTAGTCAACTAGCATGACTTACCCTAGTTTAACCTACACAAGTTACCATCATCATTACATATCTTCCGTAATCTTCTAACTCTTGACATTCCAGACTCAACCGTCTCCATCACACTCACGTCTCCAAACTCAACCCCCATGATCACTTATTCTTACACCTACATTCTCTCTCTCCTCCATATTCACCTTCCCCTTGTTCCTTCTTCCTCCAGACTCCATGGCAAAGAAAAGTAGATCATTTGCGGAAATGAGGATACTATCTCTATCAAATGAAGACTGTCGATCCACCGCCAGTCTCGGTGACTATCTTTCGTTTACAAGCAAAACCGCCATTGTCGCCGAGTACGAGTTCATCCACTTAAGTCCTTTTCCTCCAGAAGTGAAGACGTTAATAAAAAATCTTGGCTGTGAAAATTTCTTTGTTCTCCGGAGTCGAGGAAGCACAAGTTACTGCCCCATGTGGTGAGGAAGTTTTACCACAATCTACAGCTTTCTGGTCCCTGTGATTCTCATCTGGTGTCGATCTTCCTCGGACACAGAGTCTGCTTTCAGCCTCATCAATTTGCTGAGATCCTTGATCTTCCCGCTGGAGGACACCCCATTGAGAGCAGAAAGCGATCTTGGGCGGCTGTACGATTTTGAGTTTGAAGTTGAACTGGCGAAACTCACGAGGGGCGCATCTAGGCTTCTTTCCTCCTAGATCCTCTTTGATTCCTCCACTGGTTGATCGTCAACTGCTTCCTTCCAAGGTACCGTGGTCATTCCATTATTCATAAACTTGACTTGTTTATCCTTGTGCAAGCTCAAAGAGGTGTTCTTGTTAACCTCACATCTCTAATGTGCCTGAACATGGTTGAAACTGCTCCCAAAGGGGAAAACTGGTATACTGCCTTTTCCTATGCCACCTTTCTTGAAAGGGTTGGGATGGATATGAGCGTTTATGTTAAGGAGGACCAGTGCGCTTATTTGCCGGTGTACCGTATAGCCGAATTGACCAATACATTTATTGAGAATCGGCATACGGAGCATCAAGAGACCCCTGAAGCCTCCTCAAGCAAACGTACTCGGCTTACATGAGAGTTGATTGATGCAGGGGGGGTGGAGCATTGGAGCAGCAAAGGGGCCAGCAATGGATGTCTTCTGTTAACAAGTTTACTAAGTCTTTGTTGGGTTTTTTTTCAGTCTTTTGTCTTTTCCTTTATTCTCCAGCACTCAAAACTGTCAGGTACTGAGGGGAGCCAGTACATCATCTGACTAGGAAAGTCTCCTATTTTGAAATCTGAAATGTCCAAACCTGGATTTTTCTATCCATGCAGTATTTTTTGAATTTGCCATGGCTAGATCCCTAAGACAGGTGACGAGATGCAGTAATGGTCATCTCCAATGGTGCAATTTTTGTGACTTGCAAGATGATGTGGCAAGGAGGTGCAATTGCATCTTTAAATTGCTATGATGTGAGAAGCTATTGCAAGGGTGCAAATTTGTATAATGTGCAATTCTTTTTGCAATTCAAATGGACCCGCTGGTGGGCCCTTTTTTACTCTTTTTTAAAGATTTTAGATGATGGAGATGATATATAAATTGTTTAGTAGTGGTAAATTAATATGTTGGTCACACTCATTAAAATTGCATTTGGATTTCATTATTGTAGAGAGGATGAAGTTGAGAAGTGGTGTTTTCTCAAAATTATAGAAGTGCAAGTAGGGACTACCTATGAAATAGCAAATGAATTTCATTGGGAGAGATTTTAATCCGCTTTTGTTCTAAGCAGTTCCAATTAGGTCGAAGAATGTGTTACTTATTTCATCTTCAATTTTTAATGATTTTCGAAAATTATGGTTTTATTTATATTTGGTCACAAGTATAGTGATGATGATAGGCGTGAATAGTATGGATTTTAAATGGCTTGATTATAATGATTTTTGATCTATGGTGATTTTTTTCCCTTTTTCATCAAGACTCATGCTTCTTTTATTCCCTCGGCGAATCTATCATGCTTCGTTTATAGTAAAATACCCTTTTAATTATACACAATAAATAATCCATTAATTATGTAAGCCTTTTTATTGTATTTATTAATACAATGAATTCTCTCACTAAAAGGGGAGTGCATACATCGTTGGTGGAAATTCAAGGAATGGAAGCCTTTTCATATCCTACGAACATTAAATAATTACCTAAGAATTTTCCATCTGCCTTGTACGGGTTTTCGTCATTAATTATGTTGATTGGGAGCCAATCAGTTTTACTTTTTGGGTTAACTATACATGAATGCAAATTTAATTAGACGAGGGCAATTGGGAACGAAGTGCAATGATATGATCTCAATTAAACCTCTCTACAAGATACAATGGCTTGAAACAGAAGCAACCTCACTCACAAGTTGGAAGCTGGAATTTTGGTCAAGTCCCTTTGCCATTTCGGGTAGCTCACTTTGGAAGCCTGTTCGTCATGCATGGCTCGATGAAAATGAGATTTTATTGATTTGTATTGAACCTGGGATATTTGTGAACACCAGGGATTACTTGGGAGCTGGAGATCAAGTTCAGAAGGTCCCTTTTCAGGTTGTGCAAAAGTGTAATTGGAAAGGTAGAAATTGCCACTTGTTGGCTAAGGTAGTAGCCTGGTTAAAGCTAGATACTTTGAGGCTCAATTCGGAAGAGATGGCTGTCCGAAAAGTCAATATAGTTTCCATGAAAAGTCAATATAGTTTCCACGAAAAAACAAACCAAACCAAACCAAGAAACAAATATAGAAAGCATTCACCAAACCAAACCAAAAATGGTTGTCCATCATCTTGAAAAACAAAACATAACATGGTTGTCCATCATCTTTAAAAAAAAAACATAATATGGTTGTCCATCATCTTGAAAAAAAAAACGCAAAATCAGGTTGTCCTTTGGCTCTTTGACTGGGTTTCCTTGTGCTCTTCTCTTTCCTTTTTCCTTCTTTCATGGGCTTTCTTGTACTCTTCGACTGCAGCTTCAACTTGAGGTGCAACTGTTCTTGCTTCCGTGAGCACCATATGCCTTATGTAGTTCATGGGCTCTTGAATAAGGTACAAAGCGATCTGCATCCTCCTCACTTGAGTGCATGGCTATCAACATCAACAAACATGGTGCTTAACGCATGATTCAAAAATAACAATCAAGTGTGGTTTTCCAATATGCGAACTAGAATTGTCTTTACCCAAATATAAGAGGAGTCTCAGCTTGCGCCATACATCCACATGCAGACCCAGACTCCACTGTCAGACCTACATAAAATGAAAGCATTGCATGATAAACAAGTTGATAAGCCGTCGTTTAATATCACACAAAATGGACATACTTACCGATGTAGTTATTCTTGATCCTTTGAAGGATTTGTGTACAAAAACTCCGCAATCCTTGGTGGCGACAATCCCGGACCTTATTCACGATAG